CCAGGAGTTTGAGGTTGCTGTGAGCTAGGCTGACGCCACGGCACTCTAGCCCAGGCAACAGAGTGAGACTCTGTCTCAAAAAAAAAAAATAGGGAAAAAATAGAAATGACAATAAATGTTGAAATGAAAATGCTTCCTGGCAGAGTCCCAGCCCTGTGAGACTAGGTGAGGCTCATATTCAGGCAGGTTCCTCTTTTAGAACGGGCAGGACTTTGAGGGTCTTTTCAGATCTTATGGGTGGGGACATGAGACCCTCTTCTTAAAGGATAAGCATTGAAAAGTGTTTTGAAAGTACAAACAACCCTACAAATGGGTGATGGTGGTATTTGAGAAAAGGAAAGTCCCTTAGTACTGTCCCAGAACATACTGGCAGTCACAGCACAGTTCTGGATTCCTGAAATTAGATCAGCATCTTTTTTGTCACCAAGGGAGCCTACTAAGGTCATTCAACTAGTACTCCCCAGACACCCATCAGGAGCCAGGTGCTATGTCCCTTATAGATGCAGCTCTGACAGAGACAGACATGGTCTCTGCCCCCTGGGGCTTAGATGCTGGGGAGGATGGTATCAGGAAGTACATTCCTGGCCAGGTATTTAATTCCACTGTGGTGAGCACTGTAGCCAGGAAGAGGGTACCGGGCTGACCTGGTGAGCACATGGTCAGGGGAGCTTTGAGGAAGCGATGCAGGAGTCAGTCACCTGGAGGGAGGGTAGGAATTCACCAGACCCCGATGGAGGGAGAGGGGTCCTGGGAAGGAAGCACATCTGCACAGGCGGGAGGGAGGCAGGAGTTGGAAGAAGTCAAGTCCACGTGGCCGGCGGGCAGGCAGGAGCACAAATGGACATGAGACTGAGACCTCAGCAGGGCCAGGGCACATGGCCTGGCAGCCACCCCTCAGTCACAATTGCTCAAATAGTGTCCCCAACAGCTGCCTGAATGCATCTAAAGTACTCACACTACACATTTCAAAATCTATAGTGGAATGAACGTGTAATCAAGGAAAAAGGTGCTTTTTTCATTTCAGAATGTGTTTGTTCACTTGGTACAGGGATGGGAGTTTTCAGGGAAAGTGGATGAAGCAGTTTAGGAGTGGGGGAGAAGTGTTCAAAGTTAGTATTACAGTATGTCAGGACACCGTAGTGAATGCCTTGAAATCATCACCTCGGTCTCAGAAGAGACTTTCACCGTGAACATGTGAGAGGTAGAAAGAGAGTTCAGGATTAATTAACATTGTCCATTTTTCCCATATTCAAGGGCCTCTGCCAGTTTTAGTGCAATTGGCAAAGAATCACAGATTATATTTAAGCTTAGATTTCACAACCACCCAGGACTATTTTGGCAGGATGCATCTTGGGTTCTTTTTAAGCAATCCAGACACAGATGATTGTTTTTATTAGGGCTGCCTGAAAGCCCAAGTTTTCATCTTGGGCTTCTTCCTACATGTGAGTACCATGCTGGATAACTAGTTGGGATTTCAGGGAGCAAATGTTTTTTTTTTAATTTTAAGAAAGTGTACAATAAACAGTTTTTTCATTCCTGTAGCTAACGAGAATCTTTCCTCTGGACTTGTAGTATTTGCCAACCCTGAGGGAAAGGCAGAGCACATGAGTCAGTGGGCAGGATCCTCCCTTCCCTCCACTGAGGGGACCAATGAGTTTAGGGAACAAGAGTGAATAAACTATTGACTCCCATTCGCCCTCCCCAACCTCAGGGTGTGTACTATGAGTCTGAATGCTGTCCTACGTAGAAGTTTCCCCAAGATCTTAACTCTCTATTGTTTATAGCTTTTCCTCCTCTGCCCTCCTCCCTCTAGGTTATTAGGTTCCTGCAAGTTATTTGGGGACTGATCAAGATTTCAAGCTAAAGATGGTGATGAACAGCCTGAGGGTCATTCTTCAAGCAGCTCCATACAAATTGCTGTGGAGAAAGTTCCAGATTCCGAGGTCCATGCCAGCAAGGCCCTGCAGCCTCTATACTTGCACTTATAAAACTCGGAACCGAACCTGTGAGTACACGACTTCCTTAAAGAGAGTGAAAGGCTTCTTGGCTTTATAACAATCGTGTGTGTTAAGAATTTATAGCTGTGGTGTCATTGGCTTCCCAAAATGGGATTATATATGCCTTATGAGCTGTGAGAATAACTGTTTCTCTGAGAGGATGGGAGAGGATAGTGTGTGTATTTGCGGAGAGATAAATTTGAGTTTATGGAGTGATGAAGTGGCCAAGTATATCATTAAAGAGGAATCTTTTATGTTTTCTATTATTTAAAAGACATTGACAGAGAGTTTTCAAATTTCAGGCTATTTGAGGTCTGTGTTTCTCCACTTTTTGTGTTTACTGTCTTTGATCCCATTTGCACATAATAAAAAGAATGGGTAAGAATGGAATGCTTATAAATTAGTAATGCTAATCTAGCTACATCCAAGGGCTTGAAACTGCTCTATAAATATATTTTTATTGTAAGTTTATTTTGTTTCCTTCAACATTGACTGTGTTGTTATTAAAATAAACTGGCCAGAGGCATAATAAATTTCTGGTTGCTGGGTGTGACTTCCTACACGCATGCCCACATCCTACCAGGACTGGCTTATTCTGAACACTGGTACTTTGTGGTCTAAAGTTTAAACTGGAAAATATTAGTCATATCTATCTAGTTACTAAAGTTTTACTTTTTTTTAACAGAAACTTGAAATTAAACATCCTGTATGCTTATGTTATTAGGATAGTTTTGCTGCTTTTAGTGCTGACAATAAAACAAACAATAGTGGCTTGTGGAGGCTGAAGCTTCAGTTAATGAATTTCCCTCATCATATGACATGTTCTTGTTTCTCAGTTACTAAGAAAAACAGGTGACACTTACCATTTGATTTTGCTTCTGGCATATTGCACTGTCCTCCTTACCTGCTTTCACCCAGGAGAGTATTATGGTCTCCACTGCCCTGGGCCATTGAACATGTCCTATTCCTGTATCTTGGACCCTTATGTGATCAATTATAAAGACACTATTCATTATTTCTGGCAGCTCATTACCCCAGCAGAAGGCCCAGTATGCACTTGTGACCAAGAATGACCTGAGATTCTTAAGAGTTAGAAAAGATAACTTGTTAGCTGAGGGTGGCACATGCCTGTGGTCCCAGCTACTCAGGAGGCTGAGGCAGGAGGATCGCTTGAGCCCAGGAGTTGAAGGTTGCTGTGAGCTAGGCTGACGCCACTGCACTCTAGCCCAGGCAACAGAGCGAGACTCTGTCTCAATACCACCCCACCACCACCAAAAAAGAAAGCAAAAAACAAAAAAAGAAAAGATAATGTGCAAAGTCCTTAGCTAGTGCCTGCCACACACTGGACTCAGTGTTGGCAGCTACTTCTACTAAGACGATTGTTTTCATCGTCATCATCTTTACCATCATTATAGGCTCAGTGCCTGACCATCATTATAGGCTCAGTGCCTGCCTCAGATGTTTAAATCTGACTGCTTTTAAGATGCGGTGAAGCAGAATGAATGAATGAAAATGGGAGGTTGTGGGAAATTCAGAAAGCAGCATTCCAGGACATTCCTGTGCTCCGTGCTCCTACCTTTGCTCTCAGTGCTTCCTGCAGGTCATCTGTGGCTGTCAAGTCAGATTGCTGTTTGCTGTTATCTCAAGTAGCAGACAGCAACTTAACAATCCTAACTTTGGGGACTTGTAGGCTATTCACCTATTACCCAAGATGACAATAAAATCAATTTCAGTTAGTGTATCATCTAGTGAAATTTAGCCTAATTGTCACATAATAAGATTTAGGCATGAGATCTTAGACAATAGGAAAATGAATTTAATAATTCTTAATTTAATGAAATATAAGGAATATCATCTAGAATGGAAACGGTACAGGTTTGTTATTCCAATGATTCTCAATGTTCATGATCTCCCTACTTTTAGAAGGAAGAGAAACCTTTTAGGATAACTGGGACTAGAATGGCAATGTATAAAATGTAGCCACTAGCTTCATGTGGATGTTTACGTGGAAATTCAAATTCATTAACATTTTATAGCCACATGTGCCTACCACTTACTCTGCTGGACATCAGTATAGTAATGTCCATCATCAGAGAAAGTTCTATTTGATAGCATCAATCTATATTCTAACGGAATTGCCTTAGAAAGTTGTTTTATTATTTTTCCAATTAATTTTGACCAATACAAATAAAGCCTGTGATAATGGAGAAAAGTCTAAATTCTGTAAAATAAAGAGGTTTATTTTAAGTTGAACATGAGTGACCATAGCCAGGGATATAGTCTCAAGAGGTCTTGAGAAAATGTGTCTGAGGTGGCCAGGTTATAGTTTGGTTTTATATATTTATGGAGACAGGAATTATAGGTAAAATCATAAATCAATAAATGGAAGGTTTGGCCCAAAAAGGCAGGACATTTTGAAGCGGGGGGTTATAGGTTATAGGAGGGTTTAAAGATTTTTTGATTTGTAATTGGTTAAAGAAATAAAGCTTTGTCTAAAGGCTCAGAATGTTTTAAGTTAAGGAAGTCTGTTAATTAGAGACAAGTCACACTATACAGACTCAAGTGATCTGTCAAGCAAATTGGTGGCCTGTAGATGTGATTTAACCTTTGTTTTCTATGGCCTCAGGTCTTGTTAATAATTTAGTATTTTATTGTCACAAAGAGTCTGGTCAGTCTTATGATTTTTGTTTTAATATTAGTATTGCTCAGACAGTGGGTGTGAGGTAAGGGTAGAGAGCCTTGGTGGCAACTTGTTTGGTTTTCTCTATCAGCAAAATTGGTATTTAGTGCCCCCTCTGTGCTTGGTACCACATTTAGCCCTGGAAGCTGTAGAAAAAATGTAGGACACAGGCCACGTGGACTTGGAGTTGACACAAGCCCTTTGAGCAGATGAAGCAAATACACACTACATGAGGAATGGTGTGAAAGTGAATTCAGTGTGGGTTGAGAGAAAGCAAAGATCAGAGTGGGTGGAGAAAATGTCATCAGAGAGATAAGACTTGAGCTGGAAAAGATGTCCCTAAGTGGTAGGAGAACGAATGGCATTCAAGCACAAACAAAAATGGGGATAATTCCGTGTGAGTGGGCAATTGTAAGAAGAGCGGCAAGCCAAGAAAAGCAGCATGGGAAGACCAAAATTTGAGAAGAATGAGAAACGGGATTAGATAAGTGAAGTGGGTCCCAGTACGAAAACTGGGTACTTGGACAGAGAAGTTACAACTTGATGTACAGTCTTTAGCACAGGAGCAACAAGACAAAGGTGATAATGTAGGAGAACTGAGTGGCAGAACTCAGCAGTAGAGGGGAGTGAAAGAGGAGGAAAAGCCACAAGAGGCTTTATATGAAGTCTGGGGTGTAGGGGACTTGACTAGGCCGGTGGTCATGGGCAAGACGAGGAAGAGATAAACCTGAACGATTTGTAAAGAAAAAATCATGTGATCAGTGGGGTAATAGGACATAAAGCAAAAGGAGAAGCAAACTGTCTAATCCATTCAGGCTGCTATAACGAAATACCTTAGACTGGGTAATTTACAAACAACAAAAAATTATCACTTGCAGTTCTGGAGGCTGGGAAGTTCACAATCAAGGTGCCGGCAGATTCAGCTCTCTGCTTCAAAGATGGTGCCTTGTTCCTGCATCCTCACATGGCAGGAGGAGCTGGGGAGCTTTCTCAAGCCTCTTTCATAAGGGAACTAATCCCCTTCATGAGAACTCCAGCTTCATGACCTAATTCGCCTCCCAAAGGCCTCACCTCTTAATACTGTCACCTTAGGGGTTAGGGTTTCAACATATGAATTTTGGGGAGACACATACATTCACACCATAGCACAAACCTTCCCAGCGAGGCTCTTTATCATACTCATTCCATCCACAATAGTGATTGAAAGCCAACTGGCTTGTAGAGCAGTGGGGGAGGCAGATAGTTAAGCACTTATGCATATAATTAGAACTATACCCATGTAATAAATGTTATGAAGGAAAAAATCAGAGTGCTGTGATTAAAAAATTATAATATGAGGGGATCATAAGAGAGTAGCCAGAGAAAATTTTGCTGAGGAGGTGGCAGTTAGGCCCAAGACCTAAAGATAATGGGAGCCAGCCCTGAGCTGAATGAGGGGGAACTGATTTTCGTGGAGGAGGAGGAGCAGGAACAAAGGGGCTGAGGCAGGAATGAGCTTTCCATGTTTCAAAAGCTGAAACAACACTGGAGGCTGGAAAAATAGGTGGACTGAATGTTTTATGTCCCTCTAAAATTCGTGTTGAAATCCTAACCCCCAGGATGATGTGGTATTAAAGAGGTGGGGATTTTAAGCGGTGATTAGGCCATAAGGGCAGAGCCCTCAAGAATAGGATTAGTTTCCACTATATTACTAACAGAGACCTCAGAGAGCTCCCTCACACCTCCCCCCATGTGAAGACAATGAGAAGGCTGAATACGAACCAGAAAGCTGGCCCTTGCCAGACACCAAATCTGTTGTTGCCTTGATCTTGGACTTCCCAGACTCCAGAACTGTGAGAAATGAATTTCTCTTTGTGTATAAGCCACCTAGTCTATGATAAAGCCTGACTGGACTAAGACAGTGCTAAAGCACAAAATAAATCAAACCTAAGATCACTCATATAAATAAGAACTAAAACCGAGCTTGTTTTCAACAGAGAATCTCCTAAAGGACTTTTGTTGCTCATCAGCTAGGAATCACTGACAGCTTCTTAATGGCAGTGTGACTTCGCTCACTTAAACCGTGGTCGGTACCATCACTATCTTCATTTATTTCATTTTTCCTGTACAAACAAAAACCTCAAAATGAAAACCTCTGTTAGGCAGAACACTTATTCGGTTTCCTATTTTTGAGGGAAAATATGAGCAATGACGAGGAATTATTTTAATCTGCTTTTTGCTTAAATGGAGGAAGAGGAGGGGAGAGCAAAACAAAAGTGTGAGTTTATCTTTAGCAAAACAAGTCTTTGGCAAAAAGCTGGCTTCACTAAGAGAACAGTGACCAACACTGATCCCCCCCACCCCTGCCATGGGAGGTTGGATGGTCTGGGTTAATTAAAGGAGTAGGTGGGTGGGGGAAAAAAAAACCTTCTGGAAGCTGAACTTGTAAATTGAAGGGCATAAATTGAAAGTAGGATTATGATGATAAAAGAGTAAGGGAAGGGGCCGGAAGGGGCCAGGCGTGGTGGCTCAAGCCTGTAATCCTAGCATTCTGGAAGGCCAAGGCGGGAGGATTGTTTAAGGTCAGGAGTTCAAGAGTAATGGAAGGAATACAGAGCTGTCCGGAAAGTAGCCAACCATGTGGCCGTTCTCGTTATGTTAACAATGGCTGGCTACTTTCTGGACAGCCCACATAGGCCCCTTTTTTCTTGGGCTGGTGTTTGCATGGATGTGAGAGTTGAGACTTTTCATTTCCTGAATGAAGTGGGAGACAGTTAAGGCTGGCCCAGGGCCTGAGGGCATGGTCTTTAGGGACCTAACCATCATTCCAGCTCTTCCCAGCCCTTCACAGGAGACCCTCATTAATTGGCTTTGAAGAGTGTGAATTGTCAAATGATCACCCACAGTCTGAGTATCTCAGAGGAGAAAGGTGTGGTCTCTTTTGTGCCAGGAATCTTTGAAACTGAATGAGGGCTATTCTAGGGTTTTACAGAAGTTTAAAAATTAACACAATTTGAATAAAATACAGCTTCCCCCCCAACACTGGCAGTTAGATAATCAATACTCAAAGGACATATGTTTAATAAGACACCACAGAGCAACAAAAAAGGAGGAAGATGTGGCTCCTGCCCATAAGGAATTTGCATTCTAATCAGATTATAATATGGTGATATTGTGCTACTTCATGTGCATTTTCCATCTTAGATTTCTGAAACGGAAAATTCTCGTTCTTAAAGTTCTTGTTCGTCACAAGTTCTTTTGTACTTAAAGGATAAAAACCCCAAAACATTGGGTTGAGACCTCTCCAAAGATGAGAGTACTGCATTATATGAAAAAATAGAAAAAAATACATGATTTTGCATGCACCTTTTATCTCTAGACCCAGATTTCTCAACTTTGGCACTATTGATATTTTGGCCAGATAATTCTTTATGGTGGGGGCTGTCCTCTGCATGGTAGGATGTTTAGCAGCATTCCTGACCTCTATCCACTAGATGTCAGCAGCATCCTCCCCCAGTTTTGCCATCCAAAAATGTCTCCAGACATTGCCAAATGTTTTTGGGGGCTGAGTCCCTCCTGTTGAGACTCACTGATCTGAACGCTCTCAGGAGAGCTCTATGTCTGTATTGCTGGGGCACTTTTGCAAACGAAACAAAACAAAAACACCAAGACTAAGATCTTGACTTCCAGCTTTGGGCAACTACCAAAGGAAGAGTAATATCTCCTTTGTCAGAGTAAAACAGAGGCAGGTTTCTGTTTTTTATGGAAATAGAAAGATGACCTTGCCATACGTGGGGGAGTTGACTGGGTAATGAGATGGCTACCTTAGTCAAATCCTTAGATTCATTCTTAGCTGTGGGCAAAGATGTAGAGGATTGTTGGTAGTGATTTCTCTCGATTCATGTTTCTCCTAGTTTTCATTTTGATCTTGATTCTACCCATCCCTGGTGCTTCTGATGGTCAGAGAACTGGCCCACCCCAAACCAATGTATGGGCTTCTGTTCATCATGCATGGATGTCTCAACAGGCCTATCTGTGTTATCGAGAAGTCTGCTGATATTTATCAGGGACTTGCTACAAAGACCCAGCGCTTGACTCTGTAGAAGAAAATCAGCATCAGCAATGTCATCAGTGCCTGTGTGGGACAGACTATGTGTATACACATTAATAGACAATGTCCACATTTACATGACACACTGTGAACTGCAGGGACCTTGGCAATGCTGATATTCTACCCAGGTTTTGCAGGATGGCTGCCTAGTCCTCAGAGTTTGCTTACATAAGAGATGAACTCAGCATGCACATTTATGTGGGATGAGAATTTTACAGGATGCAGGCTACTCAAGCCTTTCTATCGACTAGCCAACCACTAAAAACTGGCAATATTTGGGGGCCGGGCGTGGTGGCTCACGCCTGTAATCCTAGCACTCTGGGAGGCCGAGGCGGGTGGATCGCTCAAAGGTCAGGAGTTCGAGACCAGCCTGACCAAGAGCGAGACCCCGGCTCTACTAAAAAATAGAAAGAAATGATCTGGACAACTAGAAATATATATATATATTTATATATATATATTTATATATATATTTATATATATATATTTATATATATATATATAAAATTAGCCGGGCATGGTGGCACATGCCTGTAGTCCCAGCTACTCGGGAGGCTGAGGCAGTAGGATTGCCTGAGCCCAGGAGTTTGAGGTTGCTGTGAGCTAGGCTGATGCCACGGCACTCACTCTAGCCCGGGCAACAGAGTGAGACTCTGTCTCAGAAAAAAAAAAAAAAAAACTGGCAATATTTGACTAAAAGTTTGCTTTTCAAAAATTATTCCCTATCTTCTTTATTGAGAATAAGTCTGTCATTGAAAACTAAATTAGTTTGTATTTAAAGTTAGTTTTGGGAGTCCGGGCTCAGGAAATTATCAGTGAAGAAAAGAAACTCATTTGTGAATACCGTATTTCCACATGACACTGATCTGTATGCGTTTTACTATTATCACAGGACCGATTGCACTTGGTTTAGGTGACCTTAGTAGCAGACTGAGATGTGTCGGTTTTTCTAGGTGGCAGAGTGCCGTTCCTCTGGAAGGTGCTCTCTGACCTGCCTTTATCCTCTGCTATAGTCACTTGATTAAGGCCCTAAGAGGCTAATATTATTTAGGATTCTACTGGGAGACAGAACCAATAGGATATATATATATACAGATAAATATATGAGAGCGAATTTATTAGGGGAATTGACTCATGCGATTATACAGGATGAGAAGTCTCACGACAGGTTGTCTGCAAGCTGGAGACTCTGGAATACTGGTAGTGTGGCTCAGTCCACGTCCGAAGGCCTCAGAACCATGGAAGCTGATGGTGTAAGCCTGAGTTCCAAGGCCAAAGGCCTGAGAGCCCTGGGGGCCACTGGTGTGAGTTCTGAAGTCCAAAGGCCAGGGTGCCTGGAGTTGTCCAAGGACAGGAATGGAAGAGTGTATCCCAGCTCCAGCAGTTAGATGGATATATTCGCCTTTCCTCTGTTTTGGTTCTCTCTGGGCCCCCAGCAGATTGGACAATGCCTGCCCACATTGAGGGCAGATCTTCCCCACCTAGTCCACTCAGACTCACATGCTTATCTCCTCTGGAAACACCCTCACAAACATACCCCGAAATATTGCTTTGCCAGGTTTCTAGGTATTCATTAATCCCGTCAAGCTGACACCTAAAGTTAATCATCACAATGGGTAATTCCTAAGACTCTAAGTTTCCATTAGCCTCGACAGGTTCTCCAGAAGTGGGATCGCCTCATGTGTGATGCTAGATAGTGGACGGTCTTGATAATATCCCCAACCTGCTTTCTCCTAGTGCATCCACTCTGGGAGAGCGTGGACCTGGCTCCAGCAGGCGAGCGACAGTCACCCATCAACATCCGGTGGAGAGACAGTGTGTATGATCCTGGCTTAAAACCGCTCACCATCTCTTATGACCCGACCACCTGCCTCCATGTCTGGAATAACGGGTACTCTTTCCTCGTGGAATTTGAAGATTCTACAGATAAATCAGGTGAGGGCAAGATCTGGTGTTGTTGGTCTTATCCAGAGTCAAAGGAACAGCGCCATGACAGCACAGGCCACACTGAACTCCCTCCATGAGAGTATTGAACTCTGTTAGCAATGGCATGGAACTCATTGATCTTAGTTTTTGAATGTATGAAAAAAGTATGAAGAACTGTTTTATTTACATTTTATTCAACTAATATAGATAGTATTTTTATTAATAAATACATGTCTCTATGTATAGATTCTACAGTTGGTATAGAAGATAGGATGTGAAACTAAAGTTTTGCCAGAAATTCACTTTATATGTGTATATTGAATATGTACTAATTTTTCCTCTGCTCGCTGACTTTACAAAAACTTTTATATTAAATAGTAACACTATTTTTAATCAGATTTAACTTACCAGATTGGGATACATCGTGAGAAATAGAAACTTCTATTAATTTTGTTAAATAAACAATGTTACCTAGTTTAAAAGAAACACAGTTTAGAAGAATTTCTTAAAGCCAGATATTATGTTGCTTTTTGAATCTTCTTTTTTTTTTTTTTTAACCTACCTGGACATAAACTAATGGTAATGATTTCAAAGTTTACCTGAAACTTTTGGTGTATATGGAAGACAGAATGTGATTAATTCCATACAGGTTTCTTCTTTTTTCTTTCTTTACTGAATTTTATGGTATCAAATAGTCCTAATTAGTCTGAAATAATTATTATTTGAAATAGCATATCTAAAGTAGTTCCCAATCAGCGGCAATTCTGCCACCTTTCTTTCTGTCGCCCCCCCATGCCAGGACTTGGGACACTTGGCACCATCTGGATGTAGTTTTTGGTTGCCACACCTGGGGTAGGGGAGTGAAACTGACATCTAGTGGGTCAAGGATGCTGCTGAAGATTCTATAGTGCACAGAACAGCTTTAAGGAAGAGTTATCTGGCCTCAAATATTAATAGAGCCTAGATTGAGCAATCTTGATCTAAAAGAAATTTGTTTTCTCTCATGAATATCAGAAAATGAGTCCACAAAAATGATAACGAATGGAGTAAAAAGGGTAACTTAAAGCATAAATAGAAATGGTCATGCCTATATTTATCCTGGCTCTAGGATTCTTAATCGTGTCTTTGTTTTCTTTGCATTTTCCTAGTGATGCTCAGATACTTAGACATGGCCCTCTGGCCCAGCTACAAACAGGTTGCTCCTTGAATAGTCTTAATCTCTCTCTGGTTCTCTTCCCGCTGGCATACTTCTCTGCTGTGATTCAATAAGTATTTGAGTCTTTCCTTAAGCGCTTAAATGTCTCCAGTTCCCCCGTTTTCCTCTTTTTCCTCTAGGGTATGACATAGCCCCAAAAGCCTGAACATCTTACTTGCATATCTCAAACTAAGAAGGAATAGCTCTTTTCCTCCAAGATTCATGGGCATCTTTCTTAATTTTCCCAAAACTCTAGAGTGTGCCCCCATCTCAAGTGGAATCCCATAATGTTACATTGCATATAAGGATTTCAGAAATCTTCAAAACAGCAAGTTCAATTTCTGTGATACAGATGACTGTCTTGCACTATGGTGAGCTCTGCTTGCCCCCCTTAGAGCTCTACCATTATCCCTGCCAGAACTAAACTAATGGACAGACCCAATCTATAGGGCACCAGCTCTCATGCATTCACTCTGGATGCATAGAAGTTCTTTCAAGTCTCGATCCCATCAAGGTTCCTTGCAACCTTCTTTCTTCTGAGGATTCTAGGTGTCCGTCAGCTTTCTAAAGCCCTTGATAGTCTAGGGACTGTTTGTTGCCCATATAATATTATTGCTTCATTAGCTGGAAGTCTTAGAAAGTTGCTTAATGGGTTTCTTAACCAAGTGAGTTAAGCCCAAGATTTTTTCAGGACAAATAGCTGTTTGTTTTATTTTTTAGTCATCTATTTTTCTTTTGAACAATAGATTCAAGAATTCTTATCCATCCATTTGCATGGGTAATCTCAGATGCAAAACAAACAACCCATGTTTTCATCATAGCTATTTAGATACCTACAAACCCAACTGACTAAATAATCCCTTGATCCTGTCTTCCCAAGGTGAGTCCGTCTCACCCTGTTTTTACAAAATACAGAAGAAAAATTGTAGAAAGGCTGTTAATTTTGCACTTGTTTGGTTGGGAATAAGTAAAACTGACAGCTACTTTTCATTACGCTTTAACAATTATTTTCTTTAAGATACCATTAATATTTAATAAATGCCTAACTTTCTCTATCTCTCTCTCTCTCTTTCCACATTTTAGTGACTGCCTCTTATTTCCTGCTTATTCTTCACTGCTATTTCTCCGTGCCGTTGCAAAATAATCACTAGCATTCAAAGAGGAAAAAAACAGTAAGTGAACATAGAAAAAGTAAAAGAAAGCAAAGATATCCTAGAAATGAAGAAAGACAAGAATCAATTCTAGAAAAGTAATAATCTTATAAATATCAGTGTCTAGACATTTTAAAATACAAAAAAAAAAAAAAACACCCAAGGAATACTGCTACATGGTGCTTTATAGAGATCTGGAGTAAAGTATAAGGCAAAGGAGCTGGGGAAGGTACGTGACAAAAACATCATAACAAACCTTATGGGATACAGCTAGAGCAGTGCTTAGAGGGAAATTCATAGATGAAAATGCCTGTAATAAAGAAAAACTTTCTCAAATCAATAACCCAGCTTTCCACCTTAAGAAACTAGAAAAAGAAGAGCAAACTAAACCCACAGCGAGCAACAAGAAAGACATAATAAAGAACAGAGCAAGAAATCAATGAAATCAAGGTTGGTTCTTTGGGAAGATCAACAAAGTTGACAAACCTTTAATTAGGGAGACCAAGAAAAAAATAAGAGAGAAGACTCAAATGACTAAAATCTGGAATGAAGGAGGAGACATCATGACGCACTTTACAGAAATTAAAAGAGATGTGTGAGCATCTCATCCCACCACCCTCTGCTGGGTATTGTTTTGTTACTGGGTTCCCCCAAGTAGCACACAGTTACTGAGTTTAATGAGTGCGTGTGAGAGATACGACTATTGTGGGGAAGGGCACTAAATTATCTCTGGGCTGACATGGATAGTCCCTGTAAATTATCGCCTTCTCTGGAATTCCTCCTTTTGGCAATGTCAACAGGCATTAAAGAAAAGGAGAGGTGAGTCCTTTGTTCTCCTCCTCAGGGTGCTTCCTGCCCCATCCTGCTTCACTTTACACTTTCTTGGGGCAGCACCAGTGAACCTAGTAAGAATGCTTTCACAAACATTTGAAGTTTTCCTTCCCTATTTTTAGTCCTACATTTACTTCTTTAAAAAAATTTTTTTTAAAGAATTTTTAGGAAATTTACAGAGTTGCACAACCATCAGTACAATCCAATTTTAGAATGTTTCCATCACCCCAGAAAGATTGCTCATGCCCATTTCCTGCGTTTACTTTTTTGGTGTGGGTTCTGTGTGTTACCTTTCTCTTCATCATCCCTTTCTCTGCTAGCTCCTTCATTTTTACGTTGAAAAGCAAAAGAAAGGAGTGAATATTACAGAGATTGCTTACTGTAAGCTATACTCTATGCTGGATGTTTTATATTTATTGTCTAATTTTCTACAAGTTTAATCCTTTCTTGTCTTAGAGCACAGAAGGAACAAATATCAACAACCTCAAATACATAAGTATATATTTATTTACTATATCTTATGACTGCTCTGCAATCTAATTTACTATTTCCTCTCTCCCTTCTCTGCCCTATTTCTTGAGGACTGTACTTCCTTCTCCCCTCTATCCATCTGCCCCACCCGACCCTACCCTTTTCCTTTAGTCTTGCTGAGGCTACCAGTAACATCCCTGTTAACTAATCGGACAGCCACTTGGCAGTCTGTTTCTTTAGTTCCTGGTTTCACTGCAGATCTACTAAGTGCCAGGCACTGTGCCAGGTGCTCAGAATAGAAAGAGGAAGAAGGCTTGGTCTCTGCCTTTAAGGAACTTAGAGTGTGGTGGGGAGACAGACCCTAGAAGAGATGATGCTAATGCAGAGTATGCATAGTGCTGGTGGTAGAAGGCTTCCTGGTGGAGGTGACACCTGGGCCGTCTATGCGGAGGTTGGAGGAGTGAGGCAGCGTGACGCTTGTGTTAGGTATTACTGTGTATAAAATATAAGAAGGTGACAGAAAAGCAAGTCCAGAGGTAAGCAAGAGCTGATTCGTGGAGAGTTTTGCAGAGCATGCTCACGGACCGGGAATTTGGGTACAGCTTTAGCTGGGCCCTGTGGCTCTGGGTCTCTCAAAAGACTGTGATCAAGGTGTCAGTCTCATCTCAAGGCTCCTTTGGCAAAGGATCCTCTTCCAAACTCAAGTGGCTGTTAGCAGGATTCAGTTTCTCTGGGAGCCTTCATTCCTGCGTAGCTGATGGCCAGAGGCCACCCTTGTTTCCTTGCTGTGGGCCTCTCCATAGGGCAGCTCATGCCTGGCAGCATCAGATCAAGCAAGTGAGTGAACTCAGAGAGGGCAAGCAGGGCAGAAGCCAGTGTCGCTTTGTATCCTAATCCCGAAAGTGACATTCCCATCACTTTTGTCTCAGGGGAGGGAATTACACAAGTTTTTGAATACCAGGAGATGGCGATCATTGGGCACCAACTTAGAAGCGGCCAGCACACATGGCTAATGACACATAGTCAGTTGATTCAAACTGAGCGCCTTTTCCTACAAAGTATAATACATGCTCTTAACCACATTTTACAGTAGAATACCTCCCCGTCTCACCTCTCCCCCATGTACGACTTATATAGGTATGGTGCCCAGCACATGGTAGGGACTTAAGGATTTTCCAGCTAGCAAGCACCCAAGTCAGATTCCTGGGCCTCTAACCTCTTCTCTCCCGGGGGTCACAAAGGCAGATGTATCTATAGGCCAGGGAGGTAATGAGAGTGAGGCTACGGGTATTTGAGGGGAATGGCAGCAGTGGCAATGGTGAAGAACTGGGGTGTCCCTCTAAAGGGTGCAGCCATTTCTCCCACCCAGCCTGTTGTCACCGAGTGGGATTGTGCACCCATCGTGGCCAGGGTGTCTCATTTTCACAAGTTAAGTTGGAAATGCAGATTTTTATATGAAATTTGTCTAGCTTTAAATGTTGGCAGCTAATTTAAAAATGTGTTTAGTATTATGTGAATCAATGCTGTGTGGGTGAATCAAAACACACCTGAAGACCAATTCTGCACACCTCCCTTCCCTTGCAGCCACCTGTTGGTGACATCTCCTTCCTGCCGTGCTCATCATCTTTGGAGGGTACATACAGTAAGGGTCCAGGAAATGTTGCCAGTGTTGTTCTAGGGATAGGAGAGAAAAGCTGGCTTTTTCCTCTGTCCTGATCACTTAACTTGGGACCAGAACTTCAATTTCCTTCAACAGACTGGGTTTAGTATTTGCCAAAATCATGCTACAATATGGAGCTGGCATAGAAAAATAAGATTTTTTGGAAGATATTTTATTTCAGTGCATTTTAGTACCTTCCTCTTATTAACTTAACAAATCAGGTACTATTATTCTCTGCACCTCCCCTGTCCCCCAAAGAGAAGTGGTCATTGGTTTCTTCATTCATCTTTTACAAAACTTTTATTAGAGGAAATTATGTAAGAATTTCTCAAAAGTTGGTAAAATACATAGCAGACCATTGCATGATGTGTGTCCAGTACATTTGGTTTTGGGGATTGCTGTATTCCATCATTTGTACACATAAAATTCAACTAATGATGTAATAAACTCTAAAGATCATTAAGATGGATGAGATGGATGGATTTAGTGTTGCTGTATTGGTGTGACCATGTATAGACATTGCCGGGGCTGATCAGATAGAAGAAAAGACGAATTAATATGCCCCAGGAAATTCAAGGAAAAAAAGTCAACACAAGTCAAAGCCTGAAAAAAGGGTGACTGTAAAAACTTTCCTTATCTGAATATTTTTTGCCTGTAATGTATTGATTTCACTAGTACCAGAAAAGTCTAGTCTAAACAAAAGGTATTTATTATCCAATACTGCAAGATCAGAGGTAAAGTGTGTGGACGGCTCATGTTGCTCATTCTGCCTAAAGAGAAGTGATAATTTTTGCATTTAATTGGCAATAACTGTATATATTTATGGGGTATAATGTGATGTTTTGATACATGTATACATTCTAGAATGATTGTATCAAGCAATTTACATATCCATCACCTCACATACCATTCTTTTGTAGTGAAAACATTTAAAATCTACTGTTTTAGCAATTTTGAAATATGCCATTTATTATTATTAATTATGATCACCATGTTGTGCAATAAATCTGGAAAACTTATTTCCCTTGTCTAAGTGAAACTTTGTGCCCTTTGGCCAATATCTCCCAGGTGGTAATTTTTGACTTGCAAATTTCCTATTCCATTTCAATGAAAGGGAAAGAAACCACTAGTATCTTTAAAAATTGAAAAGCAAAGTATCCATGTATAAAAAAGAAAGAATCGTCCACCCCCATATTTTAGTATTATACAATTGGGTTGGGTAAATATACTGAGAGAAATTTGCATTTAGTTGCACACAAAAGAAAACTGGATATAATAAATATGGAATATAAAAATAAGTCAAGAATTGGCCTTCAACAGTTGTATGTAGCTTGGTGTGTGTTTAAATCTTGGTGTCATTCACTCTTGCCCTTATACATGCATCGACCACATGGAAATCAAATTTATAAACACTTGTATGTAATACAGCATAGTCCATTTAAGACAGTTCACATTGAGATTTGGCCTTTCACCCACATTCCCCCGCAGCATAAATAACCATGCCCTGAATTGTTGGATGTGCCATTTTAGTGATCGAGGGAGGACCCCTGGAACACAACTACCGATTGAAGCAGTTCCATTTTCACTGGGGAGCCATCGATGCCTGGGGCTCCGAGCACACCGTGGACAGCAAATGTTACCCAGCAGAGGTATGTTAAGAAGGTCAGGAACAGTGACAACTGTACAGAAGTGGAGATGATTCTGAGGTTTTCTAGTTGTAAGAAATTACCAGGAAGAGGCTGGACGTGGTGGCTCACACCTATAATCCCAGCACTTTGGAATGCCAAGGTGGGAAGGTCACTTGAGGCCAGGAGTTCAAGACCAGCCTAGGCAACATAGCAAGACCTCGTCTCTACAAAAAATTAAAAAATAAAGAATAAAAAAACAAAGAAGGAAATTACCAGGAAGAATCCAGTGATTCCTATAACTGCTAAATAGCTTTCTCAGGGGTGTATTTGATCATTCTCAGCTTAGACATGTAAAAATGATAACATCTGTCATCTCAAATAATACAGCTGAAATGAACCTTGAGATTCTGAAAGTGATTCTGCCAGAATTCTAAGGTAGACTCAAATGATAGCCTAAGGTAATAATGCAGGGCCACAGATCGGATTAACCCAAGTGAGAGATGGTGGGAGCCTGAATAAAGGCTGTGGCAATAGAAATAGAGAAAAAGAGTAAGATATATTAAGCATTTCTGAAATGAAAGCAACAAGACTTGGAGGTAGGATCCCCTGCAGGAGAGGAGAAGGCAAAGTTAACCATGACCTTTAAGTGTCTCACTCAGAAGGCTGAGTGATAATGCATTCATGAATGATGGATGAGGAATGATTTGTGGGGAGATATAGGGAGATCATAAGGAAATAGAATTTCTGCTTACAACATTTTCTCTAATTTAGTTTTAAATGTTATGTTAAAAATAAAAACACATTTTAAGTGATTATTCCTCAAAGAGGAAATGTATCTTTAACTGCTGCCTAATTTCCATAGGGAGAATCTATTTCTCTCAGTACAAATATATTCTCTCCTTCAGATGCAAATAGTTTTGGATGTTAGTATTTATGCAAATCAGGAAGGGAATGGACAATCATTGATCCCTCACTGAAATGCTACTCACTTTGTTATATGCATTTTCTTTTATTTTCCTCCCAAGTAAAACCCTCTATTCCAAAGTAATATTAATTGCAGCTCTTGCATAAATTTCTTCCTGTTCTTTATTTCTGTCTCATTTGGCACCAGACTGTCCTATGCTTTTCTCAGTGGCTTTATTTTGAGTGAGGAAATGTGTTTAAATATCATAGGATGAATAAAGCTGTCATTCTGTTTTGGCACAATCCCACATGGTCATGTGTTAACCCTCTGTTAATGGTGTTTCAGCTGCACTTGGTGCATTGGAATGCAGTCAAATTTGGAAGCTTCGAGGACGCAGCACTGGAAGAAAATGGTTTGGCTGTGATAGGAGTATTTTTAAAGGTAAAAAATCTCACCAACTTTAAATGCTGTGTTGTATACATTACAATATTATTTACTTTAAGAATGTTTAGATCAATAGGATCAATTATATTGGTAAGATCAACAATGCTTGAAATACAAGATTGTTAAGAATACATTTTAAATGGTATAAAAATGCACCGTCCGACAGAGTAGTCACAAGCCTCATATAGCAATTGAGCACTTGAAATGTGGCTACTGCAATGGAGGAACCGTTTTTAATTTTATTTAAATTTTAATTAATTTTAACTTCAATTTAAGAACTGATGCTTAAATGGAGCGGGGACACCTTTCCCTGCAGGCGTGCTGACCTTGTCAGCCAACAGCCTACTCATTTGTTCTCTGTCTAATTTAATTCAGTGATGTTTATAAAATTCTAAATTACCACTTTAAGTGTAATTTCAGTCTCATGGTTTGTTTTTATGTAATCACCAGGTGGTTAATTTTAATTCATATTCTGTTACAGTTTCTACAGTGAGATGTCCATTGTTTATAATATGTTCTCATTGATTGCTCTCTAGCTAGGCAAACATCATAAAGAGCTACAGAAATTGGTGGATACTCTGCCATCAATTAAGCACAAGGTAATATATTTGTTTTTCCTAAATCACTTGGAATATATTTTATGCTTCAATCTCAGAGTGGAGACATTACCAAGGCACTGTGAATCAGGAGGTGTAATTAGGTGAAATGTATTGAGGTTCTTTTTGAAATGTTGCCTTAGTAAGAAAGAAAGTTGCGATTTACAATGCTTGTGTTAAGAGAACCCCTACAGCCGGGTGCACTGACATATGCCTGTAGTCCCAGCTACTCTAGAGGCTGAGGCAGGAGGATTGCATAAGCCCAGGAGTTGGAGTCCAGCCTGGGCAACACACTGAGACCCTCGTCTCTGAAAAAAAAAAAAAAGAAAGCTCTGGGTCACATTGCAGGGGACAGAAGTGATTGCATTGGTGGGCACTGAGCTTTCTGGTTTTGCTGCCATGTTGCTGAGGACTCGGGGACTCAGGAACATGCTGCTGTCCCCTCCTCTCTTCCCAACACTGGCTCCTTCTAGGTCCTGTGAACACACTCAGAGCAGCCTTCTTTTCTCCAGCTACCCTCTGCAGGAAGCAGAGAAAAGATTTACAGAAACTTGACTTGTCCAGCAGTAAAGAGCAATGACCCATATCCTTCAGGTTGGACACCTTTGTCCTGCCCCCAAGAGTAATTCTTCAATATTCTGAATCCCCAAGGGGCTGCTCCCTGGAGGCCATGTATTCTCCCCTCACCCCACTCTATCCCTCTGGACCCACCTCTTTCCCTCTCCTTGCCTCCCCATTTCCCTCTCTCCCCTTTTAGTCCAGGATTCTGGCTCCTCCTGATTTGCGTTTCCTTTTCAAAGGACAATTCTGCGTCCATCTGTCTTGAAAAAGCAAAGCCTCCTTCTTGATTTGCCAGCCACTTTGTAATTCTCCAACAATGCCAGAGACCACCTGCTGTAAACTCACTAGAATTGAAGGAGAAAATAGTTTTGGCTGTTCTCCCACTGAGGAGGATCAAAAATACACAGTTAATTGCAGAAACAAAGCCTGGCATGGTTCTGTCCTAAGCAGTGATGCTTCAGGCAGCTGCCCAGAGGTACCTGGAACTCCCCTGGGACACTGCTGTCCCCGGATACCCCCTGAGAAGCATCACCTTGTTATCAGATTCCAGAATGGTTTTCACCACTAAATAATGACTCAGTGACCCCTTTTCTTGGCCAGGACACCCTTGTGGAATTTGGGTCATTTGATCCTTCCTGTCTGATGCCCACCTGCCCGGATTACTGGACCTACTCGGGCTCTCTGACTACCCCGCCCCTCTCCGAGTCCGTCACCTGGATCATTAAGAAGCAGCCAGTAGAAGTTGATCATGATCAGGTAGGTTCTTTCCACTTTCCATCTGAGGAAATCGTAGTCTGCCCATTTAAAACAAGGCTGGGCTCCAACTGTGGTGTCAGTTTTAACATCTTGTAATGCCTATACCTTTTTATTGAAGAGTGCTAATATCTGTCTCAGTTTGGACATGAATTTGGGGATGCTTCACATTAACTAGAGAGAAGAGTTCAAAACACAGAAGGACATAAGCTTTTTACTTCGATACTTGACAGTGGCATATGTTTTATTATACATGCATTGTGTAGATTTTCTATAAAAATTAAGACCCCTTTAAAGGGAAGAATGAAGGCTGGAAATGGATGTGTTCAGGACCCTTTAACATCGTAAAGGCTATTTCATTATAGAATCTCAGGATAAAGACAATCCAACAATGTCTGTCCAGAAATTTTAATATAAGTCAGTTGTTTTGAATTTGAGGTTTATTTCTCCCTTAGAAGCTAAGTCTAAATGGTGATTACTACATCAATATGCAAAATCTTACTTAATTCATAATATAACTAAACTATAATAATATTTGCTCATACTTGTTTTATGGGATTTTTATTGATCACAAAGCATTTTCACAAGAACAGAAGCTTCCAAATTCTTTTTATGAAGCCAGGATAACTGATGCCAACACCCATCAAAGAGTGAAACCCCCCAAAAAAGTAAACTATAGACTGATAGCTGTGAAGAATATAAAAGAAAAAAAAGCTAAAAGAAAATCTTAGAAACAGAATCCGGCAGTACCTTAGAAGAAATGTATACTTTGTCCGGTAATGCAAGGATGGTTGATTGTTAAGAACGATATTAATGTAATTCATTATATCAGCAGACCTAAATAGAAAAATCATATTATCATTTCCATAGATTCCTAAAAGACATTTACAAAACTTAACATTCAGTTCTTAAACATTTTTAATAAAAGAGAGATGAATACCCTAACTTGGTAGAAAAGATCTTAGTTCAAAAGTAAATAATGTGTTTAATGTGGAAAGGATTATTCCATTTCAATTTTATATTAAATTATATTCTGGAAGTAGCCAATAAAATTAGACTAGAAAACAAAAAATAAATTAGAGAAACAATAAAAAGCTGCTACAAAAATAAGATAATTTGGTAATCAGTGGAATACAATATTAATTTACAGAAATCAATATATTCAACATATATAAATCACAATTAGTTTAAAGATATAATAGAAGAAAGAACCCTATCTATAAGGGAAACAAAAATATAAAATACTTTGGTATAAATTTAACAAGTAAAGATAACAAGAAAACTGAAAATGTTCCTGAAGGACAGAAAAGTCTTGAATTAATAAAATTACTAACATATTATTTGATAGGAACACATCACAATGACACCTTTAATTGTCAGTTCTCCTTAAGTTGTTATTGTCTATGAATTGTATATTCTTCACATATTTACTGTGGTCCCAATACATATACCAACAGGATGTTTAAATAGATATGCTACTTCTAAACTCATGAGAAAAAAAGAAAACCAAATGTAAATAGCCAGGGAAAATTCTAAAATGGAAAAATGACGATATGATTAGACTCACAAGGTTATAAAGTCTCAATAATGAAGTAGCATGGTGCTGGCCCATGAATAAAGAGACCAATCAAAGGAAATGTATTAGTTAGGGTTCTCCAGAGAAACAGCCAGTAGGATAGATAATGCTTAGATGTAGAAAAAGATTTATTATAAGGTTATTGGCTCACACAATTATGGAGGCTGAGAAGTCTTCACAGTCCGCCATCTGCAAGCTGGAGACCCAGGAAAGGAAGTGGTGTAGTTCAAAGGCCCGAGAGCCGGAGAGCCAGTGGTGTAGGTTCCAGTCCTAGTCTGAACACCTGAGAACCAACAGCTCTGAAGGCAAGGGAAGATCCATGTCCCCACTCAAGCAGTCAGGCAGAGAGCAGATTCACCCTTCCTCTGCCTTTCTGTTCTATTCAGGCCCTCAATGGATTGGATGAGCCCACTCGCTTTGGGGAAGGCCATTTGTTTTACTCAGTCCACCAATTCAAATGCTAATCTCTTCCAGAAACCCCCTGACAGACATACCCAGAAATAGTGTTTAACCATCTGTGTGGGCATCCCATGGCCCAATCAAGTTGACACATAAAATTAACCCTCACAGGAAGAAAACAGTAAGTTCAGAAATATGTCCAAATACATATGAGAATTTATTTTATGATAAAGGTAGCATCTCAGCTCAGTGGGGGAAAAAGATAGAATATTTAGTACATGCTGTTGGGGAACAACTGAGAAGATATTTGGGGGAAAATATTAGACCCACCATTGAAACCTTACACAAGGATATATTCCAGATATATTAAAACTACCACCATAAAAGTACTAGGATAAGCATAGGGAAATCCTTTCATACTTCTAAATGGAAGAAGCTTTTCTAATTATAAATCAAAACCA